CTGCTGCTGCTGCAGCTCGGTGACTCATCGCAGAGTGAGTGCGAGCGTAAGTGTAGATGCCGTCACGTCTGTGCTGCTGCTGCTGCTGCTGCTGCTGCGGCTGCTGCTGCTCCATCCTGCAGCAACTTCTTCTTTCTGTCTGTCCAGTGCAGCAACGTACACCTGAACGTTGGTGGAACTTGCTCCGTCACACCTACAGACCCGTAGTTTCTCGTTGATAAACATCCTTCCGTTTTAAACCTTTCCAACGGTTTCAGTTGAAATGAGCTCATCTCAGCATGTTTACCTGCATCAGACCAGATGGGGGCAGTGTTGAACTTGACACCTGTCAAACTCAGCAACTTTCTAGTGAATGTGTAAACTACATTTACGCTGACTACGTTGTTTTGCACAGATCGTACCTTTAGATCTGGAGTTAGTAAAGTGGGTTAGTTTCATTTTTCTGATTCACTGATTAATTTTTGTGCTGTACGTGATTCTAGTGAATGTGTAAACTACATTTACACTGACTACGTTGTTTTGCACAGATCATACCTTTAGATCTGGAGTTAGTAGAGAGAGTTAGGTGGAACTTCCTGGATAAAATAAGGGAAGAAAAAAAAAAGTAAAAAAGTAATGTGAACGTCAGCTGGGTTTGAATCCCTTGTTGAAGCTGCATGTGTTTGTGTTCTCAGTCCAACAGGCAGCCGGTCAAACTGAACCTGCTCACCTGTCAGGTCAAACCCAGCACTGAGGACAGGAAGTGCTTCGATCTCATTTCTCGTAAGTTTTTTACACACACACTTGACTTACCTCTCGTGGCCTTCTGATTGGAGGGCTGCTGTTTGAGTCTCGATGTAGTTGTTTTATTAATATTTCTTCTTCTTCTTCTTCTTCTTCTTCTTCCTCCTAAATGAATGAATTTTTATTGGTTTCTTTTTTTCCACAGATAACCGAACATATCATTTCCAGGCCGAGGATGAACAAGAGTTTGTGATGTGAGTATTTTATGATGATTTTCAAACTCATCTGTAGTTTAAAAAACCTATATATCTACAACCTCCAAACTCTCTCCAAATCAAACCTTTCACCTAAATATAACGTGTGTGTGTGTGTGTCACCGGCTGTCGTGTAGGTTGTCGTGTTGTATATTTGTGAAGACAGGATCTTCCTGTTCTGTGATGATCTGAGTTGCTGGTAACTGTAGGTGTTCTGTGGGGATGATGGTGGCTTCTGTGGTTGGCAGAAATCCAGGTCACATGTTCCTCGGTCGTTACGTTCCCACGAAGTCATGCACACACTGTTCAGTCATAACGTGAGAAAAGACTGAAACTCCAGACCAAACCGTGAAGAAGGCAATAGGATAGAACGGGTGTTTCATAACTGACAGTTAGCCATTGTAGCTAGGCTAAAAGGCTAACACTCGTAAAATAATTCTAGCTCAAATAGCTAAAAAGGAATATTGATAGCTGATAGACATTTATATATATATATGTATATACATATATGTATATATATGTATCCAAATATGTACATATATTTATGTGTATGTGTATATATATTTGTACATGTATATACATATGTGTGTATATGAAAAAAATATATATATATGTACATATATATGTATATATATGTACATATATATGTATATATATGTACATATATATGTATATGTATATATTTATATATTTTCACCAAAGTGAATGCAATGACACTGCATGAAATCAAATATTTCACGGGAAAATTTGGTATTTTGTTAAAAACCGCTCACCGAAATATTGCATAAATGAGCTAAGGTTATGTTTCGTCCAGATGCTAAAGAAATCATAATCACTTTAGAGTCAAGACTGTGAATGAGACGTGAAGTGGTGGCGGTGCTGGTGCTGGTACGGAGAGAGAAATGCAGTCAACCATCAAATTCTGTCTCTGTGTAAACAATGACTGGATCTGACACCTCAGTCCTGGCTCCGCGTTTCTCCTCCCTGACCATGGAAACTCTGTTCCGTCCTGGCTGTGCGTGAACACTCTGTACGTGGATTCCTCTGGGATCCAGCCGACTGCTCCTCACAGCCTCCGCTGTCACGAACAGGGAACTGTAGCCGCCGTCGCCGCCGCCGGCGCTGCTGCATCTTCACTGGATTTTCCATCAAATATTCAGTATTCCTCCTGCGTACGGCAATCAACCAATCACACGCTCCGAAGCAATTAAGGCCAGGATCATATGAGAATTCACATTCACTGATGAAAAAAAAAAAAAAATCCCCTTTTCACACTCACAGACACGGTGCGCCCACTTCCTGTCTGGACTCTGCTGTTACAAGCAATAATGTGTGACAGTGACAGAGAAATCATTGACACCAGGCTCATGAAACTCACCCTGTGTGTGTGTGTAGGTGTGTGTAGGTGTGTGTGCAGACAGAAGGATGAAATTACACCGTGCAGCGAGCTTCAAGAGGCAGCGTTTAGAAAAGCAGCTCCAGTGTCTGCCGTCTGTGATCGTCAGTGACCACGGGGTGGTTGTGTGAATAGGTGTGAATATGTTCAGTATTAGTCACTGAAGGACAGACCGCTGCCGACACCGGAACGGAAGGTTCTGACCACCAGAAATATATTAAAACACGGGGAAAGACTGGGACAAAACATGGAGGAAAATGAGTCTAAAATAAGGAAATATGTTTTAGAGTTCAGTTTAGGTTCATTCACTTCATACTGTGTACATACATATAAATATATAATTAAATATATATGTTTATATGTTTGTGTACATACAGTATGTAATGTATTTATGTGGAAATATATGTATATATTTACAAATATATTATGTATTTATATATTATATATATGTTGTTGACTGATCGATCATCAATACATCGTCGTCATTAAGCGACTTATTTATATTTTCGTCTAGTCAATAGTAATAGTAGTACTAGTAGGCAGGAATTTTGCAGTAGTGGCAGCAAATACTTCTCACTCGTCTGAAGGGGGTGCTATAAATTCAGTTCGAATGCGAAGTTGCCTTGTATTGTATTGTTGTATTGTATATATTTTTGTTTTTTTTACATCAGTTTTTTTTTGTTTTGTTTTCCAGCTGGATCTCGGTGCTGACCAACAGTAAGGAGGAGGCTTTAAACATGGCGTTCCGTGGCGAGCAGAGCAGCGGCGGCGAGGACGGCTTAGAGGATCTGACCAAAGCCATCATAGAGGACGTGCTGCGGATGCCTGGGAACGAAGTCTGCTGCGACTGCGGTGCTGCAGGTGTGTAGCAGCAGCAGCAGTTTCACCAGTTTGTTTAAATATATGTGAATATAAATATATATTTACAAAAAAGAGCTTTAAAATAAGATTTAAATAAATAGATAAAAAATATTAATAAATCTATAATAGTCCAGTAAAAGTTAAAGGTCACATGACATGGTTCTAAATGTCCATTTCTTTGCGGTCAGGACGGTTCTAAACCCGCGGTTCTGCACCTTCAGTGAATAAACAGAGTCCGTGTTGGTGCATTAGCGCTGCTAGCATTCAGGACACGATCCTCCCTCCACCCTCCCCCACCTTTAGAACCAAAGAGTCAGCACTTAGAGGCAGCAGGGACATTCAAGCCCTCTGACTCTCTAACACACACACACACATTTCCCCCCTAAGTCAACATAAACACACACGGCTGCTCGGAATGACGACGGGCCGTAATGCTCCGAGGGTTAAAAAAACATTTTGGTGCTTTGAGAAACAACACGTTTGTTACATCACGTGGTTACATAAGTCAGACGCGCTCCGTGGAATCTGCAGCGCGCAGGAGATTTGTCACATCTCCCGTCACGTAGCTGCGTGTGCACGGACGCGGCCGAAACACGACCAGATGTCGAAGCACCCCGACTCCTGCTGGGTTTTTTTTCTTACGTCATCAGATCACTTTCCTTTTATGCTGAGATGCCTCTCAGTGCTGGTGTGTAGCGTAGCGTCAAGGTTGAAAGGTGGTTCTGATGATTTCAGAGGTTCTGTGGTTGAGTTCCCTCCGGTGTCCGTGGATGAAGAGGACGAGACTCTTTCGTTTCATTTCCGTCTCCTTCTGTCACAGAAGCTTTGCAGCTTTAGCAGTAAGCAGCTTCAGAGGTCACCGCGCTCCAACTCATCAGCTCAACATGGACTCTGTGACCCGTCAACCAGCAGACTCAAGTCGCTGGTGTTGGACCAGCGGTCGTGTGTTTTAATCATCCTGAAACAACGTCAACGTTTTCATTACTGAACGTTGTCCTGCAGCTGCATGTTTGTTTTTTTTTAAATAAATTTACCTCAAAATGTATCAAGAACCGAGTTAACTGAGTGAAAGGACCGGAACAACTTACCTGGTCAAACAGCAAAGACAACAGTTAATGATACCAGTTGGTAATAATTTACCTCAGATACAAGAACATTTTCCTCGTCCTTGTACTTTGGAGTACAATGTTCAGCCCACACAGTCAAAAAATACTGCTTTTATTTTTAGTATTTAACAGAAGCTGCCTCAGCCGGAGACATTTGTTCTCTAGTTTTTTATTATTTATATATTTATTTGATTCGTTTTTTATTCTCAGTTTAAAGTGTGTGTTGACAAGAATCTGGCGATACGATACGTATCACGATACAAAGGCTACGATGCGATATATTGCAATATATTTACTGCGATACTAAAGGCACAAAATATATATAGATTTTTGAAAAAAACAAACAATAAAATGAACTAACGCTATGAATATGATGATGGTGAAACAATATTTCAGTGAATCAATATTTTCTGACACCCCTAGTGGTCCAGCAGGTACATGGGAGCTTGTCTAATCTAAACGTGACTTTTTCCCCTTGTAAAATCCAGGTTAATAATAATAATAAAAACCATCAAATGGAATGTTAGGCTGAGTATTTCAGCAGTGAATGTGTCGTCAGTTCGTGCTCTCTGCTGTGTTTGCTCTGGATGTCACTTCCTCTCACTCTGATCTCAGTCTCTGCAGCCGAGCTGTTTGTTATTCCTCCAGCCTCAACAGTCTCTCTGGAAACAATCAATGGAGAGAAACTGAGAAACCGATTCTCTTCACTCACTGCTCGCCGTGTAGACACAAATTTTACTTCAGCCAGGAGCGTGACGGAGCTCGTTATCCCCTTAAAGAACCCTGATCTTTTTTTGATTTGTGTGATTTTCTACAGTTCTAGCAGTTCCTCCTTAAACGCCGGAACATCTCAGGGATTATGTGGGCTAATCACTGAGGTTATCTCTGAGGCCTCGGTACATTTGACTAATGGTTCCGTGTTCTTGCAGACCCCAGGTGGCTCTCCACAAACCTGGGCATCCTCACCTGCATCGAGTGCTCCGGCATCCACAGAGAGATGGGGGTCCACATCTCCCGCATCCAGTCCATGGAGCTGGACAAGCTAGGAACCTCCGAACTCTTGGTGAGTCAGAGGCGCCCGTCCACGCCCACTCAGATTACTACGGTCTCTTGTGAAACATTAGCAGTAGTGAGAGATGTGTAAACAGAGGAAGCTGCTGGATTGGACCCCACAACCCCACTGGGGCTCATACCCTCAGCCGTGTTTTTATTCTCATCTGGCTTTGAGTGTAAACAAATGCTGCTCTTCCTCGGAACCGGGCTGCGATCTGATGATGATGATATGATGAATCTCTCCCCCACAGCTGGCCAAGAATGTAGGCAACAGTAGTTTTAATGAGATCATGGAGGGAAACCTCTCCTCCCCCTCCCCGAAGCCCACCCCCTCCAGCGACATGTGAGTACCCTCAGAGTCCTCTCTCCACACGCTGTTCCTGAAAGACGCACTTTTCACAGACCAATGTGATGTTCCCCAGGACGGTGAGGAAGGAGTTCATCACCGCTAAGTACGTGGACCACAAGTTCGCCAGGAAGACGTGCACGTCTGCGGCCGCCAAAATGATCGACCTGTACGAGGCCGTGCAGAACAGGGACCTTCTGGCGCTCATCCAGGTGTACGCAGAGGGGGTGGAGCTTATGGAGCCGTTGCCAGAGGTGGGGCCGGTGAGTTGAACCTCTGTTTTAACCACAAACCACCAGAATATAAATGGTTTATAGTTTATACGTAATAATGTCATTTTAGCCAAGTATACTGTAAATGTCTCCATATATATTTATATATTTACTTATTTATATATATTTCAATAATAATTCGTACATTTGGTTAGATTTGGATTAAAGGACTTAACTTAGGGATCTCCAAAAACATATAAAATGGTTCAAATGTAGCTCTAAAATAGCACAAATTAAACCAAAATAGAACTTGAAGTTAGCCAGAAAAGTAGCTAAAAGAGATTGTCAATTGTTAATAGCACAAAAGTATATTAAAGTGATAGGAACAGTGCTCCATTTTGTGCTGTAACCGTGGCTGTGTACTACGGTGACCTCCGTGACCTCTGTGGTCAGTTTGTGTCAGTGTTTGAATTAGTCATTCTAAGCCTCAGGGTCAGGTGATCACCAGACCACAGATCCACACATGTTAGGCTCAGTCTGGTGGAGCGGCGCTGACACATCCATGCCGGTGGGCGAGATGTTTGCTGGTAAGAAAGGGGCGTAACGTTTGGGAAAGTTTGAGTCACCAGCAGGTGGTGCCGATCATCGGCCTCCATCTCACAGTTTAGGTCAGAATCTCCCTTCTCTCTGTTGTAGTTTCATATGAATCCAGGTGTGGTGACGCGGGTAGCTCCAGTTCTTTTGTCTGCTTTTTATTTTTCCTGGGTGGTCAGATATTATCTGGTGTAACAACCAGGTTTGAAATAATTCAAAACAGGAAGTAAAATCTCTCATTTTAGGCCAGTTTAATTGGTTAAAAGGACAAATACAAAAGCTTTTAGTCTTTACTCCTGTGGCTACTAGCGTGTTAGCAGTGTGCTAACATATAACCAATACAAAAGAATACATTTCCAGTGTCTTCGTCAAAGCTAGGCTAAGCTAGCTCTGCTAACAAACGCAGCCTTTGGTATTACTGGCAGATTAATCTTGTGAGTCGAATTACTGACACCTGCTGGATCTTTGTGTACACTGGTAAATATTTAATAAAGAGGACGTCGCTGATGAATTGCAACCGGAAAAAAGAAAATAAAGAGAAACGAGGAGGTAGAAAACTGAACCAAAACTGTTCAGATCTAAAATTATTGAAAAGAATAATTTTAATTAACATTTTTAAAAAGGCTAACATTGTGTTACAGGTATAAATAAATGTATTTTTTTTTAACCAGTGAGATAATGTGAAAACACTCAAAATCTTCTCTTTGTCTTTTAGTTCAATTTTACAGGATTTATTTATTTTTTGTAAATTTATAGGTGACAAACTGTAACAATGATACAGTTTTTCTTTAATAAAGTTTTGCTGCAGCAATCTTTGTCTTTTAGTTCAATTTTACAGGGTTTATTTTTTTTGTAAATTTATAGGAGACAAACTGTAACAATGATACAGGTTTTCTTTAATAAAGTTTTGCTGTAGCAGAATAAGGCAGGATATGATTTGGTGACCTGTGGTGCTGATGCTTATGCTGTTGCTGATGCTGTCGTCGACGCCGCTGCTGCCGTCTGTGCTGTCAAGTCTGACTCACCGATATCTGAACCACTGCTGTCAGTCAATCTGAGCGACTGCAGACGACAGCAGCAGCATCATCAGCATCAGCATCATCACACTCTGATCTTACACCTCCAATCAGACGACACGTCAGGGGTGCAGCAGCAGTAAACACAGCCCGTTGACTAAACACTGTGAACGCCAAGTCATGGTTTATTCATTCACTTTAACGAAATCGAACCGACAACCACAGGAGCACACAGACTCTGCACCGGTCTTCCAAAAACACACAACCCTCATTTTGGCCACGGCTTAAATATAAGATATTTTTAAGGAGCCATTTTGTTTACTGCAGCTTGTTTAAATGCTGATAGAGACGCACGGGGGGGAGGGAGAGTACAGAATGGATGCTTCCCCAGGATTGTCTCACTGTGTGTCTCTGCTGTGTTTGACGGCCCCCTACAGGAAACTGGAGAGACGGCACTGCACTACTCTGTACGGACGGCTGACCAGACCTCACTGCATTTAGTGGACTTCCTAGTACAGAACAGGTAAATGTGCCGATATTATTATTAATGTTACATTTTCATTTGTTTTATGCCACAAAATTAGATTCAGATGTCACCAGCAGGGGGCCTCACTGTGGGTTAAAAACAGCTGTGAAAACATCAATGGTTCACAGCTAAGTTCTGTTGTTAGCAGCACTTTAGTGATAAAACACAACATTGAACATCATCTCTCTTTCTTTCTGCTGCGACCCGGTCTTTTTTTTTTCTTTTTTTTTCTTTCTCTCTGTCTGATGGAGCGATGGAGAAGCAGAGAATAGCTCGCTGCTGCTCGGCTCCTCTCCACTCACATTCCCACAAGGCAGAAAAGAAATGGGTCAAGCTCTTGTTCCCTGGCTTAATTTATTCCTCTCTTTTCACTTGTTTACCCACCACTGCTTTGGCAGCACGCAGCCTTCATGCCAGAGAAGAAGTAGAAGGAGAATTTACTCAGTAATTAATAGCACTCTGCTCAACACAGACCTCATTACTTCACAGATTTCCCTCATTTACCGCACGTGACCAAAGACCTGGACATGGACTTAGCTCAGCTGATTTACTAAAAACAGCATTAGCGTTGGCTAATTCACGTCTTTCTTCAACTAGCTATTTAGCTACAAGCTATCCAATGGCTAACTTAGGATCTAATTTAGAGTTATTTTTTATTCTTTTATGCTAACTAAGCTAATCATTTAGCCTACTTCAGGCTACTTTCTGCGCCAAATCACAGAAAAGAGTTAGCAATTTTTAGCGCTCCTAGCTACCTTATTATTTTTATGTTATTTCTAACCATTTCTTATGTGTTAAAGGCTTATATTTCTTGACATATATAGCTAATTCTAACCTATTTGGTCAAACTTAGTTAAATATATAAAGCAAATGAATCCTTTTTTTTTTTTTACATTTTTGTGTCCATACTTACCTTCAAGATTTATGGTATTTTAGAGTAGAATGGTTATGTCAAACTTTACTCACGTTCATGTGCCTGTGCTAATTGGTTAAAATAAACTGACCAAATATTGCAGACACTAATATTGTGTGTGTGTGTGTGTGTCTCCACAGTGGTAACCTGGATAAGCAGACAGAGTATGGAAACACAGCCCTGCATTACTGCTGCATGTACGAGAAGCCAGAGTGCCTGAAGTTACTCCTGAGGGGGAAACCGGCCACCGACATCAGTGAGTCACACATGGAGCAGCGTCTTCTCATTAATGTCACACACACACATGCCGTGTCAGAGCCTAACTGTCGACTGTCCCTCTGTTTCCTCCATCCAGCCAATCAGAACGGAGAGTCGGCTCTGGATGTTGCCAGGCGACTGAGGAACACTCAGTGTGAGGAGGCAGTGAGTACAGCAGCAGCCAGAGTTCTAAATACACGTTCTGTAAAAAAAAAAAATATATATATACATATATATATATACATATATATATTCAAGTAAAACTGATCAAAGTAGATTGATTTAATTCAATATAAATGGCATCTTGTCCATGAATTCAGAATTTTTAGACCACTAGAGGGCAGTCTGTAGTCTGAGTCCAACCTCCATCCACAGTGGAATGAAAATATTCACTATTATTATTATTATTATTTAATGAAATTATTGCTGAAGTATTATTATAATGAATAATACAAATATTATAATTGATTTATTTTAATATTCATTTGTAAAAAGATTTACAACAAACAACAAAATGTTGCTAGTTTTTTCACACTAACTTATCAATAATGTTTTTTGGTTTGAATTAGTGTTAAATAATGGATTATATTTGTATTGCCGCTAATGCCACTTCATGTGTTTGTAGCTGGTACAGGCTGCAGAGGGGAAGTTCAACCCCCACATCCATGTGGAGTACGAGTGGAGCCTCAGACTGGAGGAGATGGACGAGAGCGACGATGACCTGGATGATAAGGTGGTTCTCATTATTGGTTTTTAGATTTCTCACTGAAATAGTAACAACAAGGACAACACACGGGTTAATAATCTGTTAAAACATGAACAGCGTTTGTGTAAATTTAATATAATTAAGATGGAGGCAGATGATAAAAAGAACAAAAATTTAGAACCTTCTAGTACACTATGAAGAATCCACTAGTCTGGAGTCTGGAGAATTAAATAAAAACCACCTGTCACCTTCCATCCTTCCTCTCCTCCTCCAGCCCAGTCCCATCAAGAAGGACCGCTCCCCCAGGCCCCAGAGCTTCTGTCACTCCTCCAGCCTCTCCCCCCATGACAAGCTCTCCCTGCCGGGCTTCATCAGCCAGAGGGACAAGCAGCAGCGTTTGTCCTACAGCGCCTTCACCAACCAGATGTACAGCGCCTCCACCGACCTCACCTCCTCGCCCGTGGCCGACGGGCCGCCGCTGCCGCCCAGGAACCAGGGCAAAGGTCAGAACTGCCCGCTCCGACACCACTTAACCGGCATCCCATTTTCAGACGACATTAAGTCTTATCAGTGACCGGCTCGTTAAAAAAGCCCCCCCCCCTCGTCCCCCGGCTTGTCTTCAAGCCTCGGTGTCTTTGATTATTTAGAGCAGAGACAGCAGTAGAAACAGACGTTGTCTTTAGGTCGGTTGATGTTCGAGGTCATCTAGACTAGACTAGAATGTACCACAGCTTTCAGTCAGTCAGTCCAAACACACACACACAGAGGGACAGACACACACACGCACCCAGTGCTGGTATGCAATTTGTCAACAGCGGGATCAGAGGGCGGGAAGCAGGTGTCATCAAGACTGCTTACACAGTGAAGCTCCAGGAACACACACGCGCAGGGCGAGGGCAGGGCGAGGGCAGGGCAGAGTGGCTCTGGTTTGTAGGAGACACGGCTAAACAGTAACCTCCGCACAATAAACACACACACACACACACACAGACACGCCGAGTGTGCTGCGGGCGTGCTGTCTCTGCACTATTAGAATTAAAAATAACTCCACTCCCTCCTGTAGGGAGGAGTGAACTGATGCAACAGCTTACGCTGCAGAAACAGTCGTACGATAACAAGTCATTTAATCCATCACTCTGGCTTTTTATCAAAAAGTGAAATTTCACCTGTTTCCTCTGTTAAGTTGTAAACTCTCACACCAGGGTCTGTGGACGTAATAATTCCACTGCATAAATAATACTTCAGACTCAAAGTACTCGCTAAAGTAATTCGCCTTTGCAGTACCAGGGTCTGTGGACGTAATAATTCCACCGCAGAAATAATACTTCAGACTCCAAGTACTCCAAAAATTTGCCTTTGCAGTTCTTTAAAATAACTCGTCTTTCTCTTCAGACTCGTTTTTATTCTGGTTCATGTGAGCGCTGCAGCAGTCTTAGCTCCACCCCACATGCTGTCATTGGTTCAGATGCATGATGAAAATAATAATAATAATAATAATAATAATAATAACACAAACTGGTTTTCTCACTTAACTAAAGAAATAATACCATTCAAAATGAGTGAAATTTCTGTTTTTTCTGCAACACGAATGAAGAAATTCGTCCCGTACCTCCTGAAAACCCCGCCCCCCTGATTTGTGAACCACTACCTTAAAATTTGATTTATATATATATAAAAAAAAGATTCTGTCACCATAATTCCCACTCATTGTCCCAGAATGTTTCGAATTAAAATAAAAATAAAATAAAAGTATAATTTACAGAGGAATCAGGTGAAGTTTTTATTGTGGTAAAAATGAGATGAAAAGTCTTTGGGGGTTAAATGACACACACTGACTGTACAGATGCACCTGATGAGGGCATCTCTTCAATGCTGAGACGTTGCCTCCCCCCCCCCATCCGTCGGGGAGGGGGGGCAGCAGGGCAGCATCGCTGCTGCATTTCTGCTCCTTCCTCCTTTAGCTTTTTGCTCGCCACTGATAAGAGTGTCATCTTGTTATTTTGAAGTGTGTGTGGGAGCAGCTCCACTGTAAAAGAAAAGAAAGAAAAAAAAAATCAGACCTGCTGTCGATTCTCTCCCACACTCCTCATCTCGCTCTCTTTTCTTTCTCTCTTTTTTTGTTTCCCTATTCTTTCAGCTCCACACTTGGCATTCCTTGGCTCTCATTCGCACTACGCCACACTGGCTGGCACTCGACCATACATCAGTGAATATCCTGTTTTATGTTCTTCCTCCTTTAACTCGGCTGTGTCCCATGAACAGTGACACCCCCCCTCCCACTCTGTTATTTTATTTTTCTTCTTCTTAACTTTACAGCTCACTTTCGAAGGGTGGTGGCAGTGGTGGTGGTGTTTATTGAACTAACAAACCTGAGACCATGTGATCAAATCAGTCTCAGTCGAGTCTCCCTCTGCCGCCCCTGAGCTGTAAAGTCTGTACCACAGCTGACTCCTCTCTGGCTGAGCTCTCTGTTAGCTGCTCTCACTCTACGGCTTTTATTTCACTAATGATAATCAGTGATAACAGACGGGATTATTCAGAAACGCACCAACCTCAGATATATATATATACGCGTTTTGTACGTGAGTATTAGAAACATCGAACTGTTCCCAGTTCATATACTGTATATAACCAGCCAATCACGTCGAAGCAACTAGCATAAGGAACAACTTGACATGACCTTTGTTATTTGGTACCAAACAGATGAGTCCGTCTCTAATACCAAGGGGTATATATACAGTATATTTATATATGTATGTGTGTGCATATATATTTATATATGTATATATATATTTATATATGTATGTGTGTGTATATATAGTTATATATATATTTATATATGTATGTGTGTGTATATATAGTTATATATATATTTATATATGTATGTATGTGTATATTTATATATGTATGTGTGTGTGTATATATATTTATATATGTATGTGTATATAAATACATATAGATGCGTTTGTGTGTACATACATACAGTACATATACACACACTGTATATATATTTATGCATATATTTATGTATGCGTATAAATATATAAACACATATATATTTTAATCTTAGTCTGCATGGTATTTTATTTTGAAAATCAGCCCCTTTCATTTGCTCCTTTCTACAAATCCCAAGGTGATAATAATAGAAATGAAAGTGCGTAATTTGGTCCGTGGAAAACTTTTCCTGCATGTTCGTCACGTCCGTGTCCTGATGACTGGGCTGAACCTAATGAAGTGGCCAGTGAGCGTCATCACAACAAACACAACATTTTTTTTCCCACCTCCTCTTCCTCCTCTTCACTCTTCATGTTTCATCCTCCACTCCTTCAGACCTCTTTTTGGGGTTTCTGGGGTGAACACAGATGATATATATTTTTGGGGCAGGGGAGGGGCTCATCACCTCATGTGTCTTATGTATCCGCTCCTCCAGCTCCGACCCCATCCGGCCCTCCCTCTACACACACACCAGGAGGCAGCTCCACCCTGTCCAAGAAGAGGCCTCCACCCCCACCTCCTGGACACAAACGCACCCTGTCTGACCCACCCAGCCCACTCTCTCACAGTAAAGGGGGCTTGACCGGGGGTGAGCACACGGAACGGTCGGCCTGAGTCCAGAGAAATCAGATTTTAATTATTCTGCAATAAATATATATATGTAAAAAAATCTGATATTTAAAAATCCAACCCAGGACGCAGTTATTTATTTTTACTCCAAATCATTCATCAAACAGGCCACAACAACAGACCGTTTATAGGAAATGGACCCATAAATGTACAAATCCTTGGAATTAAGTTCAGATCTTTGTGGCTCTGCTGTCACGATGGTTTGAATCATCTGTCCTCTGATTGGCCAATCAGACCTCAGCAGTTTTTCCAAGTCTCCACTTCTACATGATGATGGTGTCCATTTCCTACGTACGGTCCATGTGACAGTGACATTTTAGGCCAGTCCTCACTCTTCACTCTTGGGTGGATAAACTTTTAATCTGATCCGTGATCAGGCTCATTTCATTACACTGCCAGTTTTATTCTCCCCAACAAATCTCATTAAAAGACGTTTATTGTGTTTGGTTTTAGTCTCAGAGTCCATTAGTCTGCAGCGTAGGTCTGTTCACGGCACAGGACGGTGGCGAACAGAGCAGCTGACTGTGCTCGGCCACAGATTATTATGCGGCGGACTGAGGATAATGAATATTTATGGCACTGGCTCCGTGTATGTAGATTAGCTGCTGCGTTGGTACTAATGAAGGAACATGATGTTCAGAGCAGCGATCTGTCACTGATTCTGGCTCAGTGGAAAACTGTTCGTTAAAGGGATTCCTCAGCAACGAGAAAGTGTAAAATGTTGTAATATTTATTCACAAGGACCGACGTATGAATAAGAAGGAGTTGAAGTTAAAATGTTGGGAGAATAAAACAAAGCACAATACATTTAAAAACACTTTTTTTTTTCAACTTAAATTACTTACTGCTTAATATTAAAATGTTTCAATTATTTTTTTAGGCTGTTTTTTTATGCATTTTTTAATGAAAGTTGCTTTTTATATTTTAGTATTTTTTATCAGAATTTTTTTAACTTACTTTATAACTGCATTTTATTTTTTTTATTTAAACTTTACTTTTATTTATACTTAGTTCTGTGGGTTTTTTCAATTTGCTATTTTTTACTTTACTATTCATTATACATAATTTTTTAATTTATACTTTTTTTTAATTCTTCTAATTTGTCCTAAAAACCCTGTTACTTAGGTTACTGTGCAGAAAGTTTTTTTTTTTTCTTCTTATTTGTCCTAAAAACCCTGTTACTGTGCAGAAAGTTTTTTTTGAACAAATCCTTGACACCTGAGTGTTTTAATTATCAGTCCTACGTCTCATGTGTTCAGAGGGGGTTTGTTTACTCTTCCCTCACGTGTTACTGTTTGTTTTCTGTGGTCTGGTCTTTGTGGATCCTCCGTCACCAAACTACCAATTAAATGACGACATGTTGATTTTGCACAACCTCGTTAGTTTCAGCTCATGGAAAGCTCAGCCAGACGACGCCTTTTTACCATTGAGTTTTGAATTTTGTTAAAATTATTTACGTTTTATTCATCCCGGCATTTTATTTAAATTCCTCCTAAAATCTCTGTGTTTGCTCTCTGATGTTGTGGTAACTGATGTGTTTTGTCGTCATCGACCGTGATATTCCCAGGGAGCGACTCCACTCCACCTCCGGTGAACAAGATGTCGCCTGTTTCTAACAAGTTTGAAGGAATTCCTCAGCAGCAAAGGTACCAGGAACAAAAACATGAAAAAGAGTCGATGGTTTTTTATTCAAACTAAATTCTATTCCAGAGGTTTAAGTCGTATTTAAGACACAGTTTTCAATTCAACAACAAATGTTTTCCCAGCACTACTTCTAGCAACACGAAGTCCACACTTGGTCCAAGGGTTCTTCCCAAACTACCTCAGAAAGGTACTGTTTTGATCAGATCTTTAAGATCTCTTAAGAAAAAGTCTCTGCAGTGATTAAAGAATATTCACGCTGGTCTCCACAGTTGCATTGCGGAAGATTGACACCATCCACCATCCATCGATGGATAAGCCCAGCCTGCCTCCAGAGGTCTTCCAAAAGTCCCCTCCAGCCACCGACACTCCACAGAAGGCTCCTCTGGCAGAAAGACCTCAGCTGGGAGACCTGCCCCCCAAACCGCAGCCATCTGAACTCCCGCCAAAACCAGGAGAGCTCCCTCCCAAGCCGCAGCTCTCCGACCTGCCTCCCAAGCCCCAGCTGGGAGACCTGCCGCCTAAACCGCAGCTCAAAGACCTCCCTCCCAAGCCTCACCTTGCGGACATACCACCAAAACCTGGAACGGCAGAGTCCTCTTCGAGGCCCCCTCCTGGAGAGACGACGCAGAGGCCTCAGAGTCAACCTCCGCCGCCTCCACAAACCCAGCCTCAGCCCCAGACTCCGGTTCAGCCCCAGACTCCGGTTCAACCTCAGCCTCAAGACTCGCCCTCACCTAATCAACAAGCTAATATGACCACGCCCACTCAGCAGACTCCAGAAGACACCAACGGGACTCCAACAGGAAGTGGAGAGATGCCTGTTCCGCTGCCGAGGAAGATCAACACGGTACGAACACGCCTGCCGTTAAAGATAATGACAAAAGTCAGTGATTTATACTTATTTTTTCTTTTAATTATCAGTCCTACGTCTCATGTGTTCAGAGGGGGTTTGTTTACTCTTCCCTCACGTGTTACTGTTTGTTTTCTGTGGTCTGGTCTTTGTGGATCCTCCGTCACCAAACTACCAATTAAATGACGACATGTTGATTTTGCACAACCTCGTTAGTTTCAGCTCATGGAAAGCTCAGCCAGACGACGCCTTTTTACCATTGAGTTTTGAATTTTGTTAAAATTATTTACGTTTTATTCATCCCGGCATTTTATTTAAATTCCTCCTAAAATCTCTGTGTTTGCTCTCTGATGTTGTGGTAACTGATGTGTTTTGTCGTCATCGACCGTGATATTCCCAGGGAGCGACTCCACTCCACCTCCGGTGAACAAGATGTCGCCTGTTTCTAACAAGTTTGAAGGAATTCCTCAGCAGCAAAGGTACCAGGAACAAAAACATGAAAAAGAGTCGATGGTTTTTTATTCAAACTAAATTCTATTCCAGAGGTTTAAGTCGTATTTAAGACACAGTTTTCAATTCAACAACAAATGTTTTCCCAGCACTACTTCTAGCAACACGAAGTCCACACTTGGTCCAAGGGTTCTTCCCAAACTACCTCAGAAAGGTACTGTTTTGATCAGATCTTTAAGATCTCTTAAGAAAAAGTCTCTGCAGTGATTAAAGAATATTCACGCTGGTCTCCACAGTTGCATTGCGGAAGATTGACACCATCCACCATCCATCGATGGATAAGCCCAGCCTGCCTCCAGAGGTCTTCCAAAAGTCCCCTCCAGCCACCGACACTCCACAGAAGGCTCCTCTGGCAGAAAGACCTCAGCTGGGAGACCTGCCCCCCAAACCGCAGCCATCTGAACTCCCGCCAAAACCAGGAGAGCTCCCTCCCAAGCCGCAGCTCTCCGACCTGCCTCCCAAGCCCCAGCTGGGAGACCTGCCGCCTAAACCGCAGCTCAAAGACCTCCCTCCCAAGCCTCACCTTGCGGACATACCACCAAAACCTGGAACGGCAGAGTCCTCTTCGAGGCCCCCTCCTGGAGAGACGACGCAGAGGCCTCAGAGTCAACCTCCGCCGCCTCCACAAACCCAGCCTCAGCCCCAGACTCCGGTTCAGCCCCAGACTCCGGTTCAACCTCAGCCTCAAGACTCGCCCTCACCTAATCAACAAGCTAATATGACCACGCCCACTCAGCAGACTCCAGAAGACACCAACGGGACTCCAACAGGAAGTGGAGAGATGCCTGTTCCGCTGCCGAGGAAGATCAACACGGTACGAACACGCCTGCCGTTAAAGATAATGACAAAAGTCAGTGATTTATACTTATTTTTTCATCGACTTTCAATCTTCAATGAAGACGTCGACACGGATCCTTGTCTCTTTGAGGAAAACTAAACAGGAAGTTATGTCGGGCTAGTCACGATGATAACATTTATTGACGTGGCCAAGAGCCAATCAGAGCTTGGTTTGTTGACTAGAAGGCGGGACATGTAAACGGTGCTCCAATCATAGTGAACGTTTGTCCGGGAGTTGAATAAACTGAAGCCAGGGCTAGTGACATCATAATTAAGCGATTACATTTTTTCTGCGCAGGCACAGAGGCATTACTGGTGTCGGAGAAACCCGACTGTTGCACAATTGAACCAACATTTGTTTTTGTTTTTTTCTCATATTTTCTGACATCTGTTTTCAGGGGAAAAGCAAAGCCCGTCGGGTGAAGACGATCTACGACTGCCAGGCCGACAATGACGATGAGTTGACTTTTGTTGAGGGGGAGGTGATCATAGTTACGGGAGAGGAGGACCAGGAGTGGTGGGTAAGTACGACCTCGAGTACTACTCTACTACTACTACTACTACTGGGGCAGCTGTCGGTCTGGTTTTGTTTTTTTGTTTTTTGTTTTTTGCACTGTGGAGAAGTGGACCCTATTGGACGGTTCAAGACTCTTTACTTAAGTTTGCAGCTGTAGTGGTGTGTATTAGCATGAATCTGGTGATAGGATACGTATCAACAATACAGGGGCGACGATATATTGCGATGAAAGTAGCGTGTGACCAGTTTAAGAAACCTCTGGTCACCAGATTATAATCTTCATCCATTTGGTCTTCTCTTTCAGATCGGACACATCGAAGGAGATCCGGAAAGGAAAGGCGTTTTCCCCATGTCGTTCGTGCACATCCTGAGTGACTGACAGAAGGACTTGCACTACACCTCTCCATGAACGGGGAGCTCCTGTAAATAGCCACCAAACCTAACACACCTCTTGTCACATGACAAGTGTCTAAAGGATAAAAGCAGAAGAAAAAAAAACAACAACCAACCAACCAAGCAACAAAGAAGAAGAAGAAAAAAACAACAACCAACCAACCAACCAAGCAACAAAGAAGAAGAAGAAGAAGAAGAAGAAGAAGAGCCCTAACCCCAGAAGGATCATCTGCTCATGGATGCTCCATCCATGCTGTACAAACGAATGTGTGTATTCTTCCTATACCAGTATTATCTTAACCCTATAGCACGGCCGTGACGGAGCCACTCTCAGAATGCTAGCACTTACCTTAAAAAAAAAAAAAAGAAGTCTATGTTTATGCTGTTACTGTGTATATACGTATGTAAATATATATATTTGTGTGTGAGTGTATATACATGTTTTATTGTACAAAACAAAAACATGTACCGTTGCTCTCTGCCCGTCGGATAACAAGCATCAGGGCGGAGGTGGAGGAGTCGGAATTTTATCTGTATGGAATTTTAACAGCCCTCCAAGCGATGATCAGCTTATATTTCTGGAATTAAACACAGGACAAATGAGGAATGTGAAGTAGGTCACGTGACTATTTTTAACTCTCATCTCCTGGTTTTCCCACTGCGGTCGACGGAAGAGGAAGGAGGTTTTCCCCACGTTAGGATTTTCATTAATTGTATTCTTGCTTGCTTTTGTGTGTGTGAGAGAGAGAGTGTGTGTGTGTGTGTGTACATGTGGTCTGGTTGTTTTACAGTATAGAAGAAAAAAAAATCTGCTGCTACTGTGTGGTGGACGATCAAAGCCTGTGGTTCACTGTAGGTCACTGATTTACTCCTTGTTACACTGTTCACTGTGTGTACGACCCTGTGTGTGTGTGTCTGAGTGTGAGTGTGCGTGAAACACTTCATTATTGCTCCCTTTACGTACACAAACCGTTTCAATTTGTGTTTTCACATTGGCATGTTATTACACTGAACATCCACTCGGGGGCAGTACTGCGCATTTCCACTCCTTTGGAGACGGATTCAAGTCCAGTTTCTTCCCAGATGTTCTTTGACACTTCTTACCAGTTGCCCTGAAGCTATATTGTGCAACACTGCCCCTTATGGTTTCCAGTGGTACTGCTCTGTTTCATGCATGGGGTACACAGAAAACGAGTTCCCCGAGAGCGCACCGAATTACATGACGACGGACGATAGCCTCAGTATGTGTTCTCGGTGTTGAGCATGAACAAGGCCAGTGGTTCCAAAACGTGGTGTGCAGCCCCCGACCCTGCCCGTAATAGTAGTATAATCGAGTATTCCTAGCTGACTCGGTTGAACACTGAGTGGATCTGCAGGAGGTGTAATTGGTGTTTAATTAATATATATTTGTCAAACGTATTCTGTATAGTTAGTATAAAGTCATCATAATAATTGACCGTCTAAACATTCCTCCATTTTTCCCCTGGTGTGCATTTTTAGAAAGACAGTCTCGATTCTAATTGAAACCAATGCGTTTTGTGTTAATTATATTAACACAAATATTCATTTGACTGGACTTGACTCGCTGGCCCTTTGCATTCATGCCATGTCCCGCTAGAGGGCCCCGCCCTCCACTTTGGGAACCACTAAACTGGAGCTGAAGTGAAGTGAGTGTGTCATGGTGAATGTGTGTGTTTGTGTGTGTGTGTGCATATCAGCAGCCCTTTGACCCCTGTCTGTGCATGGTGTAACAATGACTGGAATTGTGTGGAGTGGAGTGCTGCGTTCAAAGACCTCACCTCAGGGTCAGAAGAGCCACTATGATGATGATGAATACGTACCTAAAAGGCAGGGACACTCCGAGTGACGAGCGTCCTGCTGTTGAAGCCACTATTAAGTACAGGAACCTGTAGACGACGTTTTAGCAATAACTTAATTTCCTGACAGTTTCACATCAACCTGTGTCTTGTAAAAAAAAAAAAAAAAAAACAAGAACAGAAAAAAAAAAAAAAAAACAACCTTAAGCTTGAATTTTTCATTTTTTTTGCCCCCACCCCGGTGGTCATTCCATGTTATTGGTCCAGGTTTGAAGAGTGGACTCTGTGGAGGCTGGAGAGCCCGTGTGTTTTCACCTGATCCTCACTGACTGGCAGGTTTTTGGCCCCATGTTTAGGAACAACCCCATCCACCCATTGTATCATTAAAAGTGCTGTACTTAAAACCCAACTGTGGCTGAGCTTCATTCACGGCCGACGTGTGATACAGATGGAGGGATTTCATTGGTCCGGCAGTTGAACAGTTACGTGACAGACAGACAAGAGTGAGAGGCAAAATAAATAAATTCTACCATATTTTAAGTCAGTATGTGCAGTACTCAGAAGTATAATGTACACTTTAACCTGGTTTACATACATGACTAAATGTAAACCTAGGCTCAAAAGTAGGTTCATAAGGTCAGAGGTCACTGGTTTGAGACCAGCCACACCTGCAAAAGTTCATTTTCTCCAGATAAAAATAACATTAAAAACACTACAGTAATTAGGTATCAATTTTGAAAAAAAAGTTTGAGTTTTTCCCCTTCTTTGACATTGGCTTAATTTGGTAAAAATTTTTAAAAGTTTTTAAAGTGGATACTTATATTTAACTTTAACTGTTGAAGCCTTCAGTTCAGCCATAACTTTTTACAGCAACAAAAAACATTGATCTTGTTTCCAAGCAAATATTTTATTCATCTCAAATACTCATTACATCAACTGTGCTTCAGTATTTCAAGTTAATTAAATGGAGAGAAAACTCAAACCAACTGTTTTCTACCACAAAGAAAAAAAAAAAAAAAAAAAAAAAAAAGATCTTTGACAGAAATTCTTTCAACTTCTTTATTTTGTCACAAATTGTGATTTGACAGTTGAACAAAAAAAGAAAAGCTTAATTTAAATCTAAATCTTCTGTTAGATTCAATATCAACACAGGAATATCATACACCTGAAAATAAATACTTTGTGTCAACACACAAAGGCGTTCTATCACTAAAACTAACTGTACGCTCAAAGTAAAAGTACCATACGCCTGCTGATCAAAAACACACTTATTTACACACTTGGGCTTTTGGAGCTTTGGTCCCAGGTGCTTTCACCACCGACTTGATGACGCCCACGGCCACCGTCTGCTTCAGGTCTCTGGCTGCAAAACGACCTGTGGTGAAAACAGGATGTTAACAAAAAAAAAAAATCTAAATATAACAGACATTGTCACAAACTCCAGACCTGACACCGTACCTAAAGGAGGATATGAGAAGAAGCTCTCCACACACATGGGTTTGATGGGAACCAGTTTGACGGTGGCGGCGTCTCCAGAGATCAGAACCTGAGGCTGGTCCTCCAGCTTCTTTCCTGTGCGACGGTCAATTTTCTCCTTTAGCTCAGCAAAGCAGCAGGTGACGTGGGCCGTGTGGCAGTCCAGGACGGGAGAGTAGCCCGATTTGATCCTCCCTGGGTGGTTCAGGATGATGACCTGAAGGTGGAGGTAGAGAGAGAGTCAGGGTCAGGTGGTGAAGGGAACATTTTCACTGGTCAGAAGTGAGAGGAGCGCAGTGGAAAAGAGTCTAAAGGTTAGCAACGGGCTAGCCCCAGAGGCTAGCCCCTTGTTAGCCTGTGTACTTCTTCCTCTCTTCCTACTTTTTATACAAACCTGAGCTTCAAAGCTGCTAACGTCTGACGGAGGATCGTGCTGGGCGTTACCGGCCACGTCTCCACGCCGTAGGTTCTTGACCGACACGTTCTTAATGTTGAAGCCAACGTTGTGTCCCGGCAGGGCTGTCTGCAGACCTTGGTGGTGCATTTCAATGGATTTGACCTCAGCGGTCAGTTTGGCAGGAGAGAACATCAGGGTCATACCCGGTTTAAGGACCCCGGTCTCGATCTTACCCACTGGAACCGTCCCAACTCCTGGAAGCAGGAACAGAACATAACAGGGTTTTTTTTTTTTTTTTTAAAACAGTTTCACTTAACTGGAAACAGGTGGAACCAGCATTTTCCTCGTTTTTTCCCCCACCACAGTGTCACTCAATTGGAAACAGGTGGAACCATCATTTCCCTGACCTCCAATTTTGTAAACGTCCTGCAGAGGCAATCGCAGGGGCTTGTTGATGGTTCTCACAGGTGGTTGGATGGCGTCCAGAACCTCGAGGAGAGTTCTTCCACTGGCGTTTCCTTCTCTTCGTCTCACTTTCCATCCTTGGAACCAGGGCATCTGCACGAAGACAAAAACCATCATTTCATGCAGTTCTTAAAATACTTCACATCAAGTTTTTTTTTTTTTTTGTACCTTCTGGGTTGCAGTGATCATGTTCTCCCCGGTCCAGCCCGAAACGGGAACAAAAGGCACCGCCTGAGGGTCGTAGCCGATCTTCTTGAGGAAGCCGCTCACACCTTTCACCACTTCCTCGAACCGTTTCTGGTTGTACGGCGGCTCGGTCATGTCCATTTTGTTCACGCAGACGATGATCTGCTTGACACCCAGGGTGTAGGCCAGCAGGGAGTGCTCTCTGGTCTGACCACTGCGTGACACCCCAGACTCGTACTCTCCCTTGGCTGCAGACACCACCAGGAGGGCGACGTCTGCCTGGAACCACATCCATGTGTCAATCATGAAAACACAGACTTTAAGAACCACCTTAGAACAGGAACCTGTTTGGTTCTACCTGTGACGTCCCCGTAATCATGTTCTTGATGAAGTCCCGGTGGCCCGGGGCGTCGATGATGGTCATGGTGAATTTCTGGGTGTTGAATTTCAGCAGTGAAATGTCAATGGTGATGCCGCGCTCCCTCTCCGCTTTGAGT